TGCATTAAACGCCTTTATGCCAAATTGAACACAATTAAATTAGTTGCGGCCAAGGGATTAAGGTGGAAATTGCCATCGTTGTTGTCTGTGTTTATGTATAACTAATTGGCTATGTAAATGGCAGCCGTATGGGTGTGTGTGTGTGTGTGTGTGTTTGTACTGCACCTACACAGGCACAGAGACCTGTATATGTGCCGTTAATTACGAGCAGAGGCAACCGCAGCTTATAGATGATTGGGCTGGTTTAGAGTGGCCCTAAAACAGGAGGCTACAAGGGTGGCCCCCTCCAGATACACACACATACCCTCCCATCCAACTGCCGGCGGCAGGCAGTCTAAGGCTGAAGTTTGCCCAGGGGGCGGTGATCCATCCGCCCACATTGACATTTCGAGCAGCGTTGTCATGAAACCTTTTGCTAAGGATTATGCAAATCTGCCACTCATCGTGCACTCACTCACACACATACACAACACGGCACACACACTGCGATGGCGTGCCTTCATTTACATTTACATTCAGCTAGCTGAAGATTTGCGCATCATAATTTATGCCCCTCAAACCCCATATTTCCTCGTCCTCGAAAGAGACAGCTAGCTATGGATAGAGTGAGAGGGGGAGAGATGGAGGGAGAGGGAGACAGAGAGAAACACTTCATTCAGAATGCCTCAAAAATTGCCCACAGTTATGACAGGCCAGGTGAACTCTGACAGAGACAGGAGCCGAAGCCCCAGCCAGGATTCATTTGGAATCTTATTCACGTCCAGAGACGGGCACTGCGAGAAATATCTGTTGAGTACTTTTTAAAAGCAACAGGAAGTGAAATAATTAAGGGTATATAGGAGATTCTCAAAGGATATTAAAGCTACAAAAAACAATTTAAAAGGTGTCATGTTTTAAATTTTAAAAGAATGTTTCGTGTTTCGTTAAATATTTTTAAAATAATGTTCCATATAATATAGAATAATGCAATAAGGATGTCTTTTTTTAGATAGAAAATAACCTTAAGAAAATGTTCAACCTTATTTAAGACAAAAATCTAGTCATAGTTTAAGTAAGCTTGAAGTAAGCTAGATTTGTTGTTGATTTTTTGAATCCTTTAGACAAAAGCAAGCTTTAAAAAACAATCTTATAATATTCAAAAACCTATTGCCAATAATATTTATCTTCACACCAACTGTCCAGTGTTTATTATCCTTGCCTCCTTTTAGTTCTGTGTAATTTTTAGACGTCGCTCTCGCTCGCTTGCCCTTCCATAATTAAATCATAAAAAATTGTTTTTTAATGAAATTAGTTGGTTGGTTTTTCTGTGCCGTTTGTTTTCGTTTTGGCTTTGCTTTGCATGATTTGTCATAATTAATACCCAAGTGGGCAAGGGCGAGGAGGAAGAGCAAGAGTTATCTGACAGTCAGCCGGAGGAGGAGTTGCCCAGGGCAACACTTTTCGAGATGGTGCACTTTTGGCCATTTGCCTGGCTCGGATCGGAGGTCCTGGATCCTGGCCCCCATAAAATGCTTATGAAAAGCGCTTAAATTTACTAACCTGCTAGGTGAGCCAAGGGGGTCGCAGTCGCATGCAAAAGGCAAACACCGTAAACACCTTTAAAGGGGGAGGCCGCAGGGCAGGGCGGGGCAGGGCTTTTCGGGCAATGACTGGACTTGGCTGCCAGATCCTGATAGTTGGCTCCGCAATTTCCATGCGGAGGGGGACTTTACAAAATGTGTAGTTTATTTGCAATTTTTTAGCCAACGAGCTTTACGTTTCTGTTTTGATTCCCCGCCGCCGCCTCCCTGCATGTGGAATTTTTCGTTATCGCAGAGCTTGCAGCAGCAGCAGCTGCATCAGTTGCAATAAAATCAGTGGCCAAAAGGTTGCAGCATCTGAGGTCAGCTGGGTGGCACTTTTCCACTTTTCCATCTTCCCCGTTCCACCTTGCCCGCTCTCTGCCAGTGTGTGTGCTTGTTAAATAGAACATTTGCAGGGGGAAAACCCAACCTGCGCTGGCTAAAAATTTGGAATTTGTCCGTTTTGCTTTGTTTATCCGTCCAGTTTTTTAGCCCCCTTTTCATTTGGTTTTTGTATTTGCAAAATAGTTTTCTGATTTGCATTTAAAAGGTGCACTTCGTCGGGGTTTCAAGGGTCCTACATAGCCTACAGATAGAAAGATACAAATGTATCTAATGTCTGTTTGTGGTGGGAATTTACTTGCTCTCTCTAATTGGGAATTCTGTTTGCTGATTCCTTGGGAAATGTAAAATTTTTATATATTTTATTCTGTGATATTTTAGGGATTTTAGCTTACAGGAAATTTCCTAGAAAAATATTAGGAAAAGAATATAAAATGTTTGAAAAACTTTTGATTGGAGATTGTTACAAGATTTCTGAGAAATTTACTTTCTCTCTGTTTGCCTTTAGTACTAAAACTAAAACCTTTTCTTTACAGGGTATTCATTAGCAAATTTCCAACTCTAAACGAGATTTGAAAAAGAAACGTTTGAAAAAGATACAACCAAATGGCTGGGCAAATAGAATGCACTGCAGGCGGAAATAAAAATATATATATTTGAGCTTCGGCAACACGAAATTGGCTGGATGGATGGCCAGGGCTGCGTCATAAATTTCAATAGATATATATGTATATACCATACAAAATGTATATATAACTTTCAGTTGCGAATCCCTGTGCTGTTGTGGGCGCTACGCATGCAACTATTAATCATATTGAATGGCGCGCCCTGACTTGTCCGGCTAATCAATCTTGCCAGGAGCAATCTCTCCGCTCTCATCTCATCCAAGGCGGAAGAAAAATGGCCGCTAAAGTCATTAACGCCTCGCTGGTCACCTGCCGCCGAAAACGTGAGGGGGGAAAAATCGCTCAAGGAAAAACGAGGGGGAAACTGGTAGGTAAACTAAGCCGCCAGTTGCCATTTTGCTATTTTGTTTATGGCCCTGGCGCAAATCTCTCGCCATATCTTTCAGCGTTGCCCCCACCCCCCTCGGATCCCCTTGGATTTTCCCAGCTGCCCAATGAGGCGGCAGGCAAAAGCCAAAGGGGATTAGTTGTAATCAATAACTTGGGCAAGAGTGTGTGTGTGTGTGAGGAGGAAAAGCGGAGGAAAACTGGTCTTGGGCTTCTGTTTTGTTTGCCTGTCGAAAGTTTCTCCGCACAGCTTATGGCCAGGCTTATACACTCGCAGCCAAGTTATTATTATAATTTTCTTTGCCAATGCGGATTAATTGAAAAGTTTTCCATTAAGAATTCGCGCTTGGTTAAATCGCCTCGCCGTCTTTTGTTTCACCTTTTCCATAAACATAGCCCCCTTATAGTATATAGTAGTAGAAATTTGCGTGCGTTATGGTATAAGTATCTTCACTATTTGATCGTTATGGATTTTGACAGTTTCGCTGGGCTATGATGAAAATTACTTAAAAGCATTTCACTCCTTGCGCTGATTTGATTGATGGCCGTTTATGGATTCTCCTCGCTCCCTCGTCATTATATTCGCATTATCAAGTGCCAGAGCCACATAAATATATGTATATATATATATGTATTAAAGTGGGCGGGGCATTGGAGCATTGCAAATGGCAGTTGACGTCTTGCGGCGAAGAGCTGACAAAAAGTTGCGCCAATTTATGTCAATTATCGGAAGCTTTACCTGCGGAATTGGGTTTCATTTTGGGGGGGATTTCGGATGGGTTGCGGGGGAAAATCAAGGGAAATCGAGGGAAATCCCCCCCACGAGAGCAGGCTGTAATTTTCTGGGGAAAAACAAATAATGGCATTTTTAGTTGTTACCCGATATGGCCAGTTTTTTCCTCTCTTTTCGGAGAAGCATTCAAATTTGTCACCGGGTGACTGGGAAATTTGAGAGGGTTCTTGGGTGAGGAGGTAACATCCTTTTTTCACACGGGATATCATGAAGTGAAGTTTGAGTTATTGAGATTAAATTGTGAGTGGGAATTAGATTTGTGAACTCCTTTTTAGGGTTTATATTGGGTTACCTTTTTATCCCCTTCTACAGTAATGGGTTTTTTCGTTTAAGAAAGGTGTAAACCAAACCAACTTTAATATCTTAACTTTACTTGAAAGACTTCCTAATAGAGTAGTGTCTGCATCCTTTTACCACAATCCCTAAGCACCTTTACTTTCCCGCTTCCCCTGCGCACACCAACCATTTAAGGCTTAAACTCTTTTCAGAGCTTCTTCCCTCTTGAAAAATCCCCTCGAATAGCACATCGTTAATGAAAATCCCGGCTGGAGAGGATCGGGGGGAGCAGAGTCGCTCATTAAAATCGGCGGGGGCAAATCGATTTTCGTTTAGTATCGTAATCAACAACACAGAATTTTTGTTCTCGTGCTAAAAATTTGTTTTTTGCGCTATAACAAGTCTGGCGGAGGCCCCATTTCATTTCGTTTCGTTTCGGCCAGCCAACATGGCTGAATGGAGAACTTAAAGAGCACTCGAACGGCACTCAGCCGCAAACACACACACACACACACACACACACACACATTGCACACACTCGATATGCATATGTGTGTGTCTAAGTGGAGTTTGCCGCCGAAGGGTTTTGGGGGCCAAAGTGGAGTCCTGTGCTTTGCAGTACTTGTCAAGATTGAATTTGGTACGAATTTTTTTTACAGGTTTTTCTCTTTCATTCGTTGGTTTCGTACAATTTTCCGTTTTCTCTTATTTTTTTTTTGGCGTTTTTATTGATCAAACAAAACGTAGCAAGTGGCAGCCAGTGAAGGTGTCACTGCTTACAGAAAAAAAAAGAAAAGGAAAATATATTTGTATACTGCTAAAATTGTATGGGGAACACGCGCTGTGCGAATAGATTGCATGATTTGCTCCACTGCCTGTCATTCTGATTTTTTATGATTATTATTTTGCTTCATTTCGTTTAGCATTTTGGCATGTGACTGCCTCGATACTTCGTCTTCTATGGAAAATATATACCAAACTAGGGGCTAGGGCTAGGGAGCTGGTTTTACTTACCGGACCAAACTGTTCGAAGTAGCTTTTGACATCCTCCAGTGTGGTGGGCGCCGAGAGGCCGCCCACAAAGATTTTCTTCGTTCTCGTCACCATCTGCAAGGAGAGAAAGCAATGGGAACGGGGTTAATAATGAGCGGAAAGGTTAAGTGGAATGGCCCGGCATTTAAATATGCATTTTATACGAAAGTTATGACCCCTACTCTGTTCGGAGACCTTTTCCCTTTTTCTCAAGTTCCCCGTAACTTATGGCCACCAACTTTCGCCATGAGTCGTTCGACCATTTTGTGCATTTTATGTACTACATGCATGGCTCCTCCGCCGTGTCTGTCTGCGTGAGCCCAGCTTGGGTGTTAGGGGTGTGTAAAGAGGTGTGAGGGGTGTAAGGCTGTAAGGCTCTGGGACTCTCTGTGTGTGTCTGTGTGCAGCTGGCATTTTTAAGCTGACAGTTTCAAGTGCCAACTTTACGCAGTTAGCGCAGCAGCAGCACCAGAAGCAGCAGCATCAGTAGCAGGAAAAGCGGGAAAACTAGCAGCAGCCGTCGAGCACCCAGCACCGAAAATGATGGCGAGACAAGGACGAGCAGTCTGCCCCAGGCCTGCATACATATGTGCACTGAGCGTAAGGATATAGCCAAAGTCAAGGAAACTACTTAAAATAGGAGAGAAAAGGTCAAGGAAAAGAATGAAAAATATGGAAACTAATTGAACTAGCTTTTGAATTCAATGAAATCTTGGTTTTTTAAATTTATTATAGTATTTACATTTATTATAGTATTTATTTTTAGAATTCCAGTTTTTGAATTATTAATAATTTTCCTAACTTATCTTTCTTTTTAAAGTGTCCTGAAAACCCATTCCAATTCTCCGCAGTGTGGGCGTGTGTTAGCTGTGCGTGTGTATGTGCAGTGCAACGCCAGCCTTTTTAGCCCGCAGGCAAGCGTAAACTGTTAACGTTAAGTGACGGCAGTTAAGGCACAGTGGGCCCGGCAACGATATGCGATGTGCTATACGCGATATGCGATATGCGAGCGCAGCTCTCTACCATTTTAATTTGGATAATTTTGAAAAAATTACCCACAAGCTAAGCTAGCTAAGACCCCAGAGAGCACCCGGCTGGGAGTTCAGAGAGGCTGCGGCTCCGGGAGGGAGGAGGGCATGGAAAGGCAGAATCCACGGTTCAAGGGACCCTCCTCGAACAAACCGGATGAAGCTGATGACGCTGATTGCACTGACGCTTGCAAGCTGCAATTTATGAGCACGGCACAGACAACGGGGGTTTGAGGCGTTGGAATATGCCCCCGGTTCCTTGCCTCTCACCGACTTTGCTGGCGATGTGGGATATGTCCGTTAAGGAAGCTAACGATATGTAACAGCGGTGCTGATGTTTCTGCAGTGCCAGCAGTAAAATTCATACAATGTCGTAAAATTAAAACACTTGTGCTGTCGCAGGGCGAGTGCGAGGAAGCGAGATGGCCAGAGAGGGGCGTTTTAGATGTTGCTACAAAGTTGGTCGTGCAGCTTTTGGCAAGGCAAATCGCTTTGGCCCATGAAGAGAGAGAGAGAGTCCTGAGACTCTGGCTCTTGGCTCCTGGCTCCTGGCTGCTTCTTCTTGTCGCTCTTAGTTTCCTTTTCCTCCCCCCCCACTTGTCCATTTTTTTTTTGTTTTTGTCTATGCTGCACTTTAGCCAGGTTACGGAGGACTCACTGGCGGGCGGGGGCTGTGGTTGTGGAGGGCTTGGGGCTGGCACCGCGGGCGTTCCCTCTAACAATTTGCAAGACCAAAAAACGAGCAGAAATCAAGTTGAGAGTGGCGCTGCAAGAAAGTAACTGTAACAACATGACGTCCGAGACAACGTCGAGCCCCTGGAACCACACCCCCCTTGGAGCACAGCGCCCTGGTGGCTCATCATCACCAGCCACAAAATGGGCACAGAAATTGTAGCGTTGTTAAAAAGCGATTCAAAACTGCAGTGGCCAGCACTTTGGGTGTCTTTTTTTCAATGTGCACTGGCCAAAAAATTAGCACTTGTCGGTATCAAGATAGAAAGGAACTAGCTGAGAGTTACTACAACTATTTTAATCGAGCTATAATATTGTGAGATATGAAAAGAGACTGCCTTAGGCAAATCCCTTAAATTTTCCTCTCTTCCTGGACGCTAATCACTCCCAAAATGGAGCTACTTAAACTAATAAACTGGAGCCGGGAGTTTGATTGTCGACGGCAGCGGCGGCGGCGGCAATGTCATCATCAAATATAAATGAACCAGTTTCGGGAACACGCCCAGTGCTGATAGCGGGGCATGAATCAAAAGCAAAACACACCCAGGCCGAGAGTCCGAACGCGACCTCAAGACAAATACAGGCCGCAGAGCACACACAGGATAAACGGGGCCACAAGGATACAAGGATACAAGGCTACAAGGCAACACTCAGATACGCAGATACTCAGATACAAATGGCACCACACACGCATACTAACGAAGTGACACGGCATTTTAACGGCCGCCGCAGCGGAGCACAGATTAGGAATGTCAATATTGGCCACAAGGACTGCGATGAGCGGCAGGATATACGGTCGGGGGACGGGCAAGGAGTCGGAGGTCGAGTGGGCGGGCCAGACAACTGGCACAGTGTCTGGTCATGTCTTTTTGGCCGTTTCGGTAATGTCGAGAAGCTCGACAAATGACGTCAGGAGTGGGCGTGATCAAGCAAGGGGGCAGCGAGCAGGATCAAGGAGTACGACACGCGGAAGCTCAAGAAGGCGGACCGCTTACAATGCATCTCTGACAAGGAAGTAGCCCTCCCTTGGATGTGCTTGTTTCAAGTGATAATGTAAAAATGAAGTGAGGGTAGGGGAAAAACGGGGAAGCTTTAGGGTTAACTTGTAAATAAAAACAAGAGAAAGGTTATTTTTAAAAGTAAATATAAGAGTTTAGGGTTTAATAAAGCTTCTAACCTTGGTAGATAGAATATCTAAGAGATAATAAAGATTTTGAGAAGCTTTTTCTAACTAATTTCTTATGAAACTAAAAAACACATCCTTATACATCTAGAGATAATTCTAAATATTTTCGGATGACATTATAATTTTCAGGTAATTAAAGATAATAAAATAGTTACAATAGCCCCCCAGGAAACCGGGAAATGACATCACCATCAATCAATTCAACACCTCAGCTTTCCCCATTTTTCGTACTTCATAAATACTATTTATCCAGCTCCTTTTCCCCTTTCCCAGCATAGATTTTAATGAGGCATGGCACATACAAGCATAGATATGAAAACACAATAAAATCGACACTTTATCATGGCCTCTCATCGGAGCCCAGAGACACAGTTGACAAGTGGCAATGCATATTTCATTCCCACCGAGCTGCCTATCGATAACCCGGCATTATCCGGACTTATCCGACTCGCAAGGATGTTCAGTCAAGGAGGAAAAGCGATGTCGACATGGCCATCATCTCCATCATCTGCCGAGAAGACGCAGCATCCCGATGTCTGGTATGTTAGTGGAAAAGGCCAAATCAATTTAACACTTTCAACTAAATTATTCATTTTGCATAATAATTTTCAAATCTGTCAAAAATGTACACCCTCACACTAACACACACAGGCTTTCAGAGGCGTCTGCTCTTTCACACGCTCCGGTTTGGGGGGGGCGTTTGCGGAACGCTTTCCGAAAAAGCACTCAAATAATTCCCGAGCGTAAGCTAAACCAGCGCAAAGTTGCCGGGAGAGTAGCTCACACAACAATAGCAAACGGAAATTGAGGGGCAAGGGCGGGGTGGCTTTGGGAAAATGGAAAACCCTTTAACCGTGCGTAGGCTCCTTCCTTGCCGCCGCCGCCGCCGCCAAGCGTTGCAAATTCTGTTAAGCGAAAATTTCATCAACGGCAACGGGCAGAATTTTCATTCGCCATTCAGACAGCCCAACCCAGCGTCGCGCCGAGAACGTTCGTTGTCAAAATGAAAGGAAAATGTCTCATAAATCCTTTTAATATTAAATGAGCTCGTTCCGCGAGAGCGGGGGAGCTTCAGGGCCGGGGAAACTCGGGCAACGCACACACTTAAAATTATGTGGCTAATGGGAGCAACTTGCCTGGAAATTGCGCGCGCGGAACTGTGGAGATGTCTCGAATCGGCGACACATGTTCAGCGACAAAAGGAAAAGCGGCGGAAAAGCGGGAGAAAAGGCGGGGAAACACAGGGTGGGGAAAAGGCCGAAGGACCGCGGCACTCTGCCAATTGTCATTAAATGTAATTTTTAAACCTGTTAGCGCATGTGTGCCATAAAATGTAACGTTAAAAAGGGTTTTTCTTTCGGGCCTCCACCTAGGATGTCCTTTTTTTTTATTATTTGCGTTGCTGCCATTTGGTTTTATTGTGAAATTAGTCGGCTAAAGCGGGTTTATTAAAGTTTGCCCCGAAATTCCTGATGCGTTGCCCGAATTTCGAGCCTCAACGGCTGGTCGCACCGGGGGTGAGTTTCAACGACAACAATTTGTAACATTTGCCGCACTTCCCGCAAGAATTTTTGCCGCCGGGCCAGGACCGGGAAGGGATTGGTTGCGGCCCACTCGGAAAAAGAGCTTCAACATCATTCAAAGTGACAAATTATCCATGCAAATTTTATACAAAATAAAAAGGGGTGGACCGGGGAGGCTCTCCACAAGGCAATCCTTTTCGTCGTGGGAAAAAAGTGTTGCATACTTATGAGTGTCGGCGAAGAGCGTGTCGAGTCGGCTTGAAATATGAGCATTGATAGAAAGTTTGACAAATGCCAAAGGATGCCATTCTGAGGGCCAGATAAGCAGGAAATATATAACCAGGCAGATTACTGAAGCATTATCCTTGTTCATTTCCTCTTACACTGTTCGGAATAAGGTTGTTAATAATATGTGTATAAAAGAAGGCTAAGAGATTGCAATTTCAGCAGAGTTTTATTAGTAAATTGGTTATTTAAATAATAAGAAAATATTTAGGCATTTAAAAAATATTTACATTGGAGCCTGGAATAAATATTTAGAGCTTTATCTGTTGACATAAAATATTTATTTTATTTTAAAGTCTCTGTTTCAGTAAAGTAAAATCC